TTGTAACTGCTCTCTCTTTCTCCTTTTCTTTGAACATATCCCGCAAGATTTACCTTTCTGCCAGCCACTGAACACTGTCATTCCGTGTTGGTATCCAACTTCTTTGATCTCATCAAATCTATTAAACTCTAGAGTTTTAAACCTACAAATCAGACAATAATAAACTATAATTCTATCATCAGTGTAAGGATCATTTTGAAATTATGAATAATGATTAGTCAGACTCTTGTTCAAATGTGCATGGTTTAAACAAAATTCCTTGAATAGTTCTTGAATAGTTATTAAATATGCAAACAGACTTGTTAAACAATATTGCATACTATATCCCTCCAAAATAAGTATCAAAAAAAATCCCTTATATGGCCTGATGATGTAGAAGATATTGAGAAAATTTGAAACAAATTAAAATATAAACAAGCCATGCATGTTGCAGTCCCAGTTAGTTATCAAATTTAAGATATATAGTTTTGTGTATGATAGACATCATGTATCTGATCGTCAAACGAGTACTTGTCCATATTGAGAAATATTGCTCTGAAACAGCATTAGTTAAAACAAAATTCATCATTTTGAATACATCTATATATCTATAACATAATGTATAATGAATATATAAAATTTGAACATAATCAGTCAAAGCATGTCAGAGATATGGCTCTAGAAGCTCATTCATTAAAACAAAATGGCCACCAGTCAGCCATTTTGAATCTGATCTGAAAAATGACGTGCATCCAGAACCCATAATGTCTAATGTATGTACAAGTTTGAACAAAATCAATCCATAAATGCCACAAATAATTGATTTTTTTCAGCACAAAAATGGCGGAACGGGGACTAAAAATGGGACACAATTGCTCCCTTGCCTTTGGATATACCCAGTATACTGTCTCTGATTTTTAAAAATTCCCCCCAAAAATTAATTTAATTGTTTCCAATGAGCTTATACATCAAATGAGAATTACTTTTTCCACAATGCATTGCAAATATGCTCAACAGATGAACAACTCCAAATAGGCTTGATTTCCCTTGATACTGTAAAATACTTTATTTTAAGCTGGAATAAATTTTTGCTGAAAAGACTTTTTGGGTGTTTTGTATGTAATTTTTTTTACTAAGTTTTGATGAGTTGAATGAAAAACATAGGAAAAAGGGTATATTCGCTGGATTTCATCTTCACCCAATCATTCCTTCAGCAAAAATAGCGAAAATTAATTCCAAGAGAAAAAATAAAGTATTTCACAGTAATACACTGGATGCAATAGATGAAGCATAACAAGTGAACATCCTCTACCTGTCAATTGGTGGTCTTATATATTCACACATCCTACTATTCTTCAGCTCTTCAAGATGTCTGACACACGAGACATACGCTAATCTGCTCTGTATCTCAGTCATATCAGGCACCTTTAGAATACAAACAACATGTAATCACTGCCTTATGTAGATTTTGTAGAATTATTTTTTATTCAAATGATGAAAAGTAGGAAATACACATATCAAAATGAAAAACATACCCTAACAGCGCTAGCCCAGGGATTCCATCTTTTCCATAGCAACCACCATCCTGATAGTGTGTCCCCATAGTTGGTTAGATGAGTCACATCCTGACTGCCGACATCCACCGCTATGATAGTCTGTGCACCCATAGATTTCATGACGTCAGCTGACAAAGTAAAAGAGGTTTAGTTACAGGATTTATAGCAACGTGCAGGACCTGACTGCCGACATCCACCACTATGATGCTCTGTGCACCCATACTTTTCAATACGTCAGCTGACAAAGTAAAAGAGGGTTAGTTACAGGATTTGCAGCAAAGTGCAGGACCTGACTGCCGACATCCACCACTATGATGCTCTGTGCATCCATACTTTTCAATACGTCAGCTGACAAAGTAAAAGAGGGTTAGTTACAGGATTTGCAGCAAAGTGCAGGACCTGACTGCCAAAATCAACTGCTATGATGGTCTGTGCACCCATACTTTTCAGGACATCAGCTGACAAAGTAACAACATAAATGAGACAGGTAGAACTTACCAGGTAAATTATTGACATATCCACCGTCCAATAAAAGATGGCCATCTTTAGGGTCACACAGAGGAGGTAAGTAACCAGATAATGACATACTGGCTCTAACATATCGCCATAAAGAACCTACAGATAAAACAAGTTTACACTCAGATAATATATTCCCAGTAAAAGTCCTGGAACTTAATTGTGTAGATAATTTTTGTATAGATATCGCAATTATTAATTACCCAAATAAGGTAAACCTAAAAAGCTAAACACTGCAATCCATACTAGTACATGTCCTGTTTGATGGTTTAATTTTATTGAAAAAAGAATTACCATTAGTCACATGTATTCATCCCAAAAGGTGGCAATTAAAGATATATAACATGCATAAATTTTGTCATCAACATTATTGCATTGTTAAAACAACTTGCAGAATAGCTATCTATTGAAACTAGGTCTAGGGAATTCCACTTCAAGCTCCTGCACAATATACTATACACAAACCAGCGTTTACACAAAATGAACCCACAGAAATTTCCTACCCCCAACTCACGGTACGAGGTTTTACCCAGAATTCAACACGTTCTGTACCAACGCATATTGCTATGCGCAGAACTGAAAATTCTGGCATCGTTCTGCGCAAAAACAGTTTTTAGCTCGTGAGTTGTTTCCGGGTTCGCCTTCCATGTGCTTATCGTGCGATTTATTGTACCAATATCACATTTTCTGGACGTATTCCTACACAATCATGCCAAGAGCATCCAAAAGAGTCAAGCAGGCAAGTTTAGCCGCAAAATCACGTGGGAAATCGGCTTCAACTGCTCAGTCGATCGCTGATGTTGTCGTCGGCACACAAGTCGTTCGCTTTCTGATCTTTCTTCCGAGATTTTGACTCGAATATTCGGGTTTTGTTGCTTTTTTAATGACAGTGATGACGATAGTTCACAGTTTGAGAAAGTTAAAACGATGTGCTCACTTTGAATGGTTTGTAGGCGATTTTATGCTATGGCGTCGAATGATTTGTTCGTTATGGGAATGACGACAAGCTCTACTGCCAGATTTAAGCTGATGAAGGCGAGATCACTCATTGCTAATGAAATAGGGCAACTTTCCGATTTGATCATTCAAAAAGGGCCATCTCAAGTAAGGCAAGTGGTGAGAAATTTGCTGGAAAATTTAAAGGGTCACGAATGGGATGATTCAAAGAAATATTTGGAAGTCTCTCTTGCAGTTCTATTTAGCACGAAAAGATCAGCAATTTCTAAGAAAGCCACTGGGAGTCGAGCCTACATCAGTAAAATCTCAAATCAGCACCAGGCAGTAGGTGAAAAATTGTCTGGATTTGATGAGAGTGCCCTTTGGCAATTACGATTAAATAAAGATAAAGCATTTGCCAAATCAGTATTATCTGTATCATTTTTCAAGGAAGCCATTACATCAGATATTCTGCTTCCTTCTGTTAAATTGGCTTTATTAGCAGCACCATCTTCCCAGAAATTAGATCAGACTACAGATGACACTAAATTATGGAATGATTCTGAAGCAGAACACATATTTATCCATCTAGGGGGCGGTCTATCTGAAACTGACTATGATGGTTTAGAGAAATCTCTGAGAACCAGTGTTCGAAATTAACTGAAAATTATAACAGGCCCGAAGGACCTATGTCAAATTAAAACTGTAGGTCCTTCTAGCTAACTGTAGGCCCTGATATT